TTTTTTTTTTTTTTTTTTTTTTTTGTACTTTCTATCTATTTGAAGCGTGCCGAAAATTTAAAGTGTAATATTCTTATTGAGTAAGACACAATGGAAACAATTTCTTGTAACTAATATAAACATGTTGTTGTGAGATTCTGGCGCCCTTCCCTTACTTTACTATAGACTAAAGTTAAACATCTTTCATACTGCAAAAAAGAAAGAAGGTAGTCAACAGAATAAAATATTGTTTCTGAAAAATGTTGACTAATAGTTATACTTACATTTCAAGTTGTGAAAAAATCAACCAGTTCTGTAACTTTAAATGAGAAAACATTAAACGACATTTATAATATTTAAAATATATATGACACTAAAATTTCAATTTAGGACAACCTTAATGTCAAAGAATATACTCAATCTTATGTTACATGAAAGAATGGTGATGGTGCAACAAATTATCGTTTACTGCTTAATTATATCTATATTTAATTGTCTATGCAAGATGATAGTATTTATTTTTGTACAGGATTTGATTTTTATTAAATCAATACATTATTTGAATATGTGTTTAATTACGAGATGTATTAGCAGAATTTGTAGATAATTTGTTAGTCATTTAAATTTATAAAATTTAGTTAAATTCAAATAAGTGCACAAAATATAGAAAAAAATAAAATCAATAATAATTTGTAAGCAATTTTTTAATCTTATAAATTATCCATTACATTGTGAATTTATACGTATTGTTTTATTATTTTTATTTTACTTCATCTTAGTCTAATACTTAGATTTATTTATAAAAATTATATTATCAATGAAAATAATTGTAAGAATTACATTGGAACATTAAAGATTACTTATTGGCACAAACATACAAATTAATAAAATTTATTTTTAAGAAATTCTCTGTCACAAAATTTTGTTATATAAAAATTTATGTATATATAAATATTGAAGTCGAAAAATGGCTTCCTATCATTTATAATAGAGATAAACAATAAAATGAACATACCTTCAAAGACAATAAGATACTCTATGTATGTTCTATTGTGTTTAAGTAATATATGTGTATAATACTTAATCTCAGTGATTACTACTTTAATATATTTTTTATTCCATACCTATTTAAGAATTAGTTAATTTAGTCAAGATGATATATTCCTATTTTATAAAAAGTTCTAATTAAATAAACAGAAAAAGATTTATAAAATTATGAGATTAATTTATAAAATTATGTATCTACAGTGAAATTTAAAGTTATTAGAACAAAGAAAATATGAATGTAACTATATATATATCTTAGTTTTGATGTGCCTCCAAAGTAATTTCTAAATATTCTTTCTAATCTAAACAACAGTAATATTATACCTTATATTATTAAATACTGCTTCAAAAAACTTATCTTATGTATTATATGTTAAATTGTCATGAATCTATTAAATATACCAAAAATAAATCTTTGTTTTAATACCATTCTTTTATCAAAATAATTCATAATTACTTAAATTTAGTTTACTAAAATTTTAAAATTAAATATTGATTAAATTGAAGGTTTAAATAATATTGACAAAATATTGTTATGAAATATTTATTATATTTATTTACTGTTCTTTAACTTCACGCAATCTCCTTACAGCAGACCTAACAGAAGCTGCAGCTGTTGTAGAATATACCCATGCACCTCCAGCAACTGTCTTTTTACAACGTTTACAAGACCAAATACCCACAACACTTCGTTTCATAGCATCCTATATAAAGAAGAGAAAGTAAGAAAAAAACATAATGTACGCACAACTCTTTGTGAGATATACAATTAAATAGTTTTGATATTCTTTGCTTACTTAACATGATTGATTTAATACTTACAAAAATATAAAATATACTTCTTACCTTGCCACAAAATGTACAAGTATATTTGCTATGCTGGGTGATTTCCATCTTCTTAACCATCTTCCTAAGAGAGGCACCATATCGGGTACCATATTTACCAGTGATTCCAACCTTCTTCGTGCGTTTCGCCTAATACAAATGAATATATTTTATAAAGTAAATATACTTCTTAACTGTGATATTAAAATTTGTTGTTGATTGCAACAATCAACATAACTAAATGTTGATTTAAATATCGTTAAAAACGTACATCTTAAACTACATAAAAATATGCTCATTTGACACAATTAGGTTAACTAGTCTAACTATGTTTATAATGTTATTTTCATGTTTCTCACAAACTTTTATTACAAAACGAATTAAACTTATCATATTTTTTACCTTTCAATAATTAAAAATCATAGCATAATCAATCACATCATAATCAAAAGATAAATTGACTGTTTTTTAAATATAAACATTGTACTATTTAAAATTATTAAATAATACAACAAATATACATATAAGTACTTGATCAATGATTTTTTCTAACGCAGCATAATTGATTTTATCAATATTTCAATAAGATTAATAAAAAATTTTGCAATAACAACCCTTACCATCTTACATAAATATAAAGTACGTTCCAAAAGAACCGGAAATGGAGAAGGACTATAAAGTCTGATATTCACTGCGTGCTCTAGTCATCGGAAATATTAACGCAATGGTGTATTCATGAATAGCGCGAATTTGAATCGTGCATTACAGAAAATAAACAAATACGCTCTCATGAGTATTTTTTAAATAAATGTGACAGCATGTGGTCACAATTATTTTCATTATTGTTGAAAAATGCTTAAATTTATCGTTAAAATCAAATCACCTTTATATTGAAATCTTTTGATACGAGAAAGTTTAAACACGGCGGATATTTAGTTTTATTTAATCAAAAAATTTTCATGGTAGTCACGTAGTTGACTTCAATACAGAATTGTTACATTTTCATGAAGTGTACATCGACGAAGAAATCATAGTTTGATCGTGGTCACGAGAAAATAGGATTGGCCATGTAGATGTGCATGAGAACGCTCGAAAACCAGCCTGAAATGACGTAGCCAGTGGATCCCAGACTAGCCAGGCTCGTACGTGTTAAATCAGTGTTGCTCATCGGCAATCTGTAGACTAATAGCTTATAGTAATTCTCTAATCGTTTATCATTTCGCGAAACCGCTAGCAGTGGCATACGCCAAGCAGAAGTGCGAAAGTGTCAATTGGTAACAAAAGTGCTGGATAACGATGGTCGTTAAAATTTACATATCGGGTATCAGCGGCAACAAGGAAGTGAGTGAGAAAGAACGTGACCAAAAAATATAAAGATATTTTATTCGAGAGTGAGGAACGAGAAAGAGAGAATGTGTGTATGCGTGTGAATTCTTATATATGTGTGTGACTTAAAGAGAATGCCAGATTTACCGGGCACTTGAATTCTTACAATATTTCACGCATACATTGTATCGGGTTACATCGAAAAATTTCACGGTTGAGGTGTCAATTAACAATCGACGCTGTCGCCCAGTGAAGATCTTTATCAAACGTGACACATGACACAATTTATCTATTCAACAATTCATATGTGTCCAGCAAAATGCCGTTTTCCTCTAATTGGATAACATTTGGCATTGACGAAACGTATGTTAGACTCAGTTAACAACAGGGTGGTTCCGTGTGAACGTTATATTTTGCGTGAAACCGAATAGGAAATGTATGCATATAGCAGTGAAAATGCTCGTGAAGAACGTAAAATGTACACGAAGTATTCGTGGAAAGTCATGGGTTGTGGGTAATAATTCCATTTGATCAATGTTTACGTTCTTTGTCATAACGAAAACTTATTGTATCATGTGCCTTTGACTTTTTGCTCGGTTTTTATTTTGATCTCTTTCAGTATTGCCGTTGTACGCATTTTTCACGATCATTCTTGACGCTATTAGATTTTCAGTATTAACAGTCGCTGATAAAATGATAACAGTATAAATTTATACGAATCCAACATATTGCTTCATGTTGCACCAGTGTATAAAATAGTTGATGTTCAAAATTTAGTGTTTCATTAATAGTGTGTTAAGTTTAGATAGGACAGAAGAGAAATATTTACATTTTATATTTAATTGCATTTTTTTAGGTAAAAAAGAGACAACAACGGGTATTAATGATATTAGATAGTAAAAATGTAGAATATGAAATAATTGATATAACAGAACCAGGAAAAGAAATGGAAAAGGAGTTTATGCAAGCTAATAGTATTGCAAGAGATAGTAAATATCCATTACCTCCACAAATATTTAATGAAGATGAATATTGCGGGGTAATTGTAATTATATAAATTTTAATAATTTAGAACTTACAATATAAATAATAATAAGTATTGTAGAAGTGTATGTTTGGAATATTATCTTTGTTTTTTATTTACTTTGTACAGATTTTTAGAAGTTTAAATAGAAAGTTTCTAAATATCATTCTTTGACTATAAATGTTTATAATAAATTATTCCATAGGATTATGAAGATTTTGATTTGGCAAATGAAATAGATGAATTGGAAGAATTTTTGAAAGTAGCACCACCTGTTAGTGCAAAGGAAACTGTTCTTGATTCAAATGAAAGTAAAGAAATTCAAGAAAATGGAAATACTACAAGTCGAGAGGTAAATACTTACAACAGTATTTTGTTTAATAATTCTAAAAGAAATGTTAAATGTATCCATGTCATTTAATTTATACACATATGTCTTTTTTAACATTATTTGTAAACTTGATCTCTAATCATCTTAGTTATGTTTATTTGCCGGTGTTTTGTCCTTGGCACTAAATTTGTACCCTGTCTATACTAACTACTACATGTTTATTTTAGCCCTCCACAGACAAAGAAGCAGCTGCAGTACAAGCAGGAAGGTAAGCATTATAGACACATTGATTACATAATTTTGTGATCAATCGTTTAAATTGATTAATCACTATAACTGTAAATACATGTAACTAAAATATTTAACTCAACATGTTTTAAAAATAAAAATTTGTTTTATTAAATAATTTTATTACTTTTTTCCATACTTACCTCAGTGTTGAAGACAGGACAATTCCACCAAGTGAAAATATACAGTTAGATGAACCTCAAACTATAGAACATGATGATGGAACAAAAGCTGAAGAAGAAACTGCAGAATATACGGAAGAAAATGTTGAAAAAAATGAAGAAAAATCTAATGATCAAGAGAAGGAAGAGTAAATGTGAAATAAACCCATATGGTTGTGGGACATTTTATATTTCTTTGACATCCTTGGTTTTTCACCAATAAGGGTATTTTATAAAAGCTATATTTATCACATTTTTAAGGCTGAGTGAAGGTACTGCCAAGATAACATTTCTGCTTTGCAGAAAGTATATTGAATGAACAGTATAAATGAAATATAAGCAATACTTTTATAGAAATATTTTATATTTGAAATTAAGTATGTTTTTGCAATCAGATTTTTAATAGGTCTGATTAGAACATAATGAATTTCATCCTTCTTCATATCAGTAGATAATATCAATTTTTTAATTTCTTATGCTGACATTTTACATTGTTTATACCATATTTTAATACCTTACTGTTAAATACAGCTCTAATAATATACTAGGAGTAATAAATTTTCAGTATTGAGAATGCTTTTTTATTCTGTTATTAAAACTATAATGATAAATTTTAGGTAGACATATTTTCAAATTATTTATATTTTTAATTCAAATTTCTTACTTAATAATTATCTTGTAATAATATTTATCATTGATACAAGCTATAAATTGTATACTTATCATTTGTACTGAAGAACAGTTTCCGTTTATAATAACTTAATTTGTTTCATTTTGTATGACATTTAAACAAAATTTTCTTTTCGTATAATAAATTCAGACAGTACAACACTCAGTTTTATATAAAATACAATCCTTATAAAAGACGATGCAAAATTAGTTATAATAAGTTATACCGATATTATACGCACTAACGATTCTTTATGATCAAGTACATCTTAAAATGATTCTCAATATTATTTCCAAGAAAGTTAGAATTAATGTAGAACAGACTTTTTAGTTCCACGTGATATATCTCGCAAAATTACAATTTAATTTGTTACTGTTACATTTATAATCTAATTTGTAGATAATATTCCATAATAGCTAAAAAATATAAAGTAACATACAGCTATAGCTGATTTAATTTTCTCTTGCTGGAAATATTTACTTATGAGATAAAAATGAGTGAAATACGAAGAATTTAAACAGTTTTATTAACGGCCTATTTATGATTGTTTCCACAAAAATTGATACCAATTACATATATTTAACTATACAATGTTACTCATAACATAATTTGTTTTACAATGTACTCATTTATTGATCAGACGAGTATTAATCACGAACAAATTTTGAGCTTTATGCGAGTGTTATGAACTATTTTATTGTAAGATGATAGAAGATGTAAACTACGAAGTTCATTCATTACACTATATTTATGCACGAGATAAAAAGCCTGACTAATTTTAATATAGCGTACCGCAGCTTTTGAATATGGAGTATTTGCTATTAAAATCAGACTAGGAAAAAAATTATAAAGCTTCACATGTGCAAATCAAGATGTTTATCTTCTTCTTATTATAGAATGGTATATCCACGGGCAATAGGTGTTGGACATGAGCATCACAGATAATAAATTTTAATATTATGTATTTGAAATATATATTTATAAGAACAATATTCATTATACATAATATATAGAAATCATGCCACTCATTGTTACATGCATATAAAAATTTACTAATAAATATCATGGTAGAAGTTTAAAAACGTTTAAATAATTTAGCATATACAATCTTATCATTTATACAGATATATAATATATGTATTTAATGATATATTCGTAAAGAATGCATATACCATTAACATTAATATTTACAGACTTAATACTGAATTTATTCATTCTAAAAATGGTTTTTGGTAAGTAAATTATTTCTACTTCATAGAATCTTAATGCTTTTTCTTCTTTCTTCCATAATTAACAAATTAATACAATAAATCGTAATCGTAATTTACATACAAATTTTATATATCATTTATCTATTTAATATTGTTTTTTAAATATTAATAATTATAAATTTCTTCGTATTATTAATTTCATTTTTAAAATAAATATTTATTTTTGGTATTAACAATAAATAAATGACTAACATTAATACATATAAAATTAAAATATTTACAATTATAAAATACCTTTGAATATTATGTTAAGAAATATATTTTCAAATTTGTAGGAAGCAAAATTAAAAACTACTGTTTTAGTTATCTATGTTTATATTTATATCACAAATTAATTAGAGAAACATTAGCAACCTATGGTGTAGCTACATTTAAAGATATATTTCTTAATTTTTTAGCGGTTATTATTAAATAAAATTTGTTAAGAAATAAAATTAAACATTTACACAATGTTTATGAAACAAATTCTTCAAATATATTTCCCTTGTATATTTGTAGTCTTTCATGCGATGAAACGAGAACAGCCTGCAAACAGTAATTGTTAACATATTTTTGGAATATTAATGTACATTATTTATAAATCTACAATGAATAAAATTCTAGATAAAAATTTAATTTAGTGACTTTACGATGTATTCATATACAGACACAAATACAGGCAGAGTTCAATGTAGTAACGCAAATAATTTTTCCAAATATCTCAAATACTAAGGCCGAGCGACAATTATTGTTCAGATAAAAGTTATTCAAAATCATATAATCTATGACTGGGGACACAAGAATGATGAAACGATTTGCATTGCAACGGATATCACAAACATATGTCACAGCAATACATTTTCGTACATTAAACTATACATTACTAACCTGCATTTAACCAACGGTATAATGTGCATTAATTTATTATTATTATTTATTAATTTTTCATAAACGTATTTACACCAGAACGTACGTTAGGATTTGCGATACATTGTAACTTACGTCATTTTAACGCTGCATGTCACCGGCCTAAAATCGTTGAGGTCAGTCCACGTATACTGTATTTTTTTTAAATTTCATTTCTTGTAAAAATTTAATACAAAATACATTACTTTCTTAAGCTTGCTCGATCCATATTTCTTTTTAATGTTAAAATACAATCTTTTTTCAAAAAATCAAAAGAGAAAGTTTATTTGGACTAAAAGTCACTAAAGTAAATTTTTATCAAATTCTAAATACATAAGTTATTAAAAGATACATTAATTATATAATATTAAAAGATAATAATATTTGTACAAATTTAAAATTAATACAAATTTTTTCAAAACTAAATTTTTAAAATATGTAATAATAAAAAAGTATATGATAGGAAGATACCATCATTTTACTCAAAGTGAAAGATAAATAAATCTTAGAATAACACAAAAGCCATATCTTTATATATAAAAATAAATTATATGTATCTTCTTTGCAAAGTTTCAGATATTTTAGATTGCTTGTGTTAGGTAATTAGTATTTGCTATAAAATTTTATTCATATCTTTGAAGATGTACATATTATACAATATATTAATTAATAAAAATTTATTGTAAATATAAATATTACTACACTATCAAATGATGAAAATTACTTTGAGGTACATAACTCACAATATAAGAAATGTATTGACACAACAGACATTTTTGTACCTTCAAATCATATAGTAGTAATGTACATATGGTTCTTAAAATCATTGTTTTAGATACTGTAATGTAGCTCTCTTTATAGGCACATTACATGTATGTTTTGCGATACAAGAAAAAGAAGAAAGAAGAGAAGAAGAAAAAGAGGGAGAGAGATTAAAGATACAATGATCAACTAAAATTAATAAAAAAGGAAACAAGTATGAGAGATAACAATAATTATATATAAACAAAAAATGTATTAGATATATAAGTTGCATAATTAATTCTAGATACTACTTAACAATCACATAAAAAATTTGATTAATATACTATTACTAAACTAACTATGTATTTCAGCAAAACATAATAAAATGATTCCTGATTTTACAACAAATTATTTTAGTTCTGTACATATTCATAAAAAGTGACATTATGTAAATACATCAGTATCTGCAACATTGTAATATATAATTTTGGTGTATATTTTTATAAACTTATATTTAATTTTATGTTAGATATTATGCTGCAATTTATACTTGTTCACACACTATTAGCATATATTAAAATAAATATAATTAGGATAGTTGAAATTACTTTAATGAGAAGTAGAAAAAATTAAAATACTGTGAAGACATCCTGTATCTTCTTTTGTTGCTGGTATGTCATTCGCGTTATCGTTATTATAGGCCACAGAACATAATCGAATTATTTTGTTATGTACCCTTCAAGTTTGTTCAAATTTTTTATAACATATTTGAAGATAGACTATGATAGTCTGACACGATCGGTAAATCTTTCACTATACACACGGACTGATTTCCTCATAATTTTACCACGTTCGTATAAATATCTAGCACTTTCTTTTTCAAATAACGCATTTTTGAAAACTGAACAAATTGAACAAAATTGAAGGTCATGTAGATCCACAATTTAGTCGATAAACAAACTAGAAATAACATACGTAAATACAGATAAATATACGCTGCGATTAAATGTAGTTTTCTTTATGTTTTATGATCCATAATAATGATAACGAGGATGACCTACCAACGACAAAAGAATATACAAGATATTTTCGACTATATTCGAAACGTGTCTTGAAATAATTTATTTTTCATTGTAGTTCATCTGAAGTGACTTCGAATTACTTTCAATTGTACTTCTCTTAAAATGTTTTATCAAAATGTAAATAAAAAATTATATCATTCCACTTAAAAAAACACGTTTAACCTTTATATTTCTTTTGTCTTAATTTGCAGAAAAAATATTGACATCATAACACGGTCCCTTTAAAATCAAGTAACTTTGATCTGACATTATTTTTACTATTATGAAAAGCAATAGGGTGATCTGGTTTAAGTGACCCATCCTGTATGTTTCATTGCTTATCAAATTTAATCTAAGACATGTACTTAAAAGTAAAGTATTTAAAAAATATTCTCATTTATGAATGTATAATTATATTTAACAAAAAATTTATCTTAAGATCATTATTTTAACTCTGCACTTGTAAATTATGTATTAAATGATTAATGCAAAATGTATTTTTAACTATTGAATAAAAATTGTGCTTTACCATACAAATAGTATTATAATATTTTGCAATATTTTATATTTTCTGTTACAATTATAGAGAACTATTGATAATTGTTAAATAATTATTATATTAGATTTCTAGTATTATAGATCATATTATAAATTATAATATTATTAATAGAAATTATCTAAGGTATCATATATAGCAATACAAAAAAGCCAAAAGAATTAAATAGTTTTTAAAATATTTAACATTCAAAAAAATGTTATATATCATAATTTTAATAAATAATTACATGAAACATTATATTTTGTGCATTATTTGATGCATATTAGTAGAGGAATATTTGTTCAGTAAAAATTCATGGTTTATAGTATCCACAGCAAAAAAACAGAAAAATGCTGTAATTGATATATTATGCAGAAAAGATTATTCAATCAATATATGATTGGTTTATTTTAGTTAAATAGTAATAGAACATATCACTTATAACCTTATAATAACATCAGAAAATCTATTTGCAGAAGATTCATGTGATCTCAAAATACATACATACATATATGCACACTCGTAAATTAGTTAAGAAATAATCATAAATTTTCTTTTCATATGTTTTGCACATTTCTGAGATACCCATTTGATAAGTTCATAAAATTTTACAAAGGTTTCCTTTCATCACTTTAATATCACGAATATCTACAATAAATCGCAAATAGAAAATTATAAATTAAAGATGCCCCTAATACAGTACATTTCTCAAGAAACATTTTCATGTCATATGTATAATATCTGTTTTTCTGGTTCATTTATATTAATACAATTTTTCATGTGTGTAATTTAAACAAGTATCAATACTAAAATGAAATTACACAACTATCCTTATTAAATTCATTGACCAGTGTTACGAATAAATTAAATATTATGCAATATTATACTTGTTTATAATATATGACCTTTTTCAATAGCATGCAATGTTTTTTCTCTTTATAAAATTTAATTAATCCGTACCAAAGTATTTTTGTCCAAAATGATTTGGGGCAATGCTATGAATTTCCGATGTCAAAATCTTCATCTGTAAAGTCCAATTTCATTCAAAATATTAGAATATATTCGTGATCTTTAAATATCATTTACAATAATTAGTTAAAAGTCAGAATTTGTTAATGTATATCTAATATGACAGTATCATATGTATAATGAAATAATTTAATTAGTGTAACCAATGAAAAATTTTGTAAGCATAACTCATTTTCTTAAAGATTGATAAAAAGTAAAAGTAATTATAGAAAACTAATTAAATAATATTTATCTACAAAGTATTTAGATCGAATAAAGCATATATACTTGTTTTAACATCATATTTACATAAAAGAAGTATCTTATTTTTAGTAAAAAGTTGTAAAAATAATGTTATAATCTATATAAGAAAAGAAAACTTATTTAGTAAGTATAAAATGATTATATTAATTACTAATACAGTTAAATAAACATACATACCTGAGGAAAGGCAGTAACTAGAGTTTTAGCTGCAATTGGTGTACAAAATAAATTTGATAAAATGATATTTTCTTCAAGTACATTGTGTTCCTTCAGGACTGCAATTGCTTTTATGACAGTATTTCCAGTACCTTTTATTTGAAATAAAACACTGATCTTATAATATAATATATATAAAAACTTAAACGTACAATTTATACTTACTCATTATTGGATACATTAATAAAACTTTCCTTTCAGATATATCATCTGGAAACTTTGCATAAACTACCTTGGCTTCATGTGTGTCTATGTTACTTTCAACTAATATTTTCCCAATCCTTATACTACAACAACAGTCTCTTAAACCCTGAAAGATATGGACAATTAATATGATTTAACAATTTCATTGCTAATAAAATTTGTATTATACCTGTTCCATGGCTTCTCCACTTCTTACTATAGATACCCCACAATTTCCTTTTTGATACCTTAAACCATTGTATTTGGCACCAGTTGGTGTAGTTACCACACATTTAAAAAAAGGTAATTGATTTAAACTTTCTTCTATCACTAATCTTATCTAAAAATATTGAATTAATTATGTAATTTCTTACTTTTTTATTATAAATATACATTTTAGAAAAAATAAAGAAATGTTAATATAAAAATATCTATTTGATATAACTAATATATTTGTAATAAATTCTGTATTAAATTTTATTAATAATAATTATATCTTTCTGACAAAATTATGAAAATATGAGCTGTAAGATGAAAGAATAGTCACGATTAATAAAATAATTTGTTTGCGATTATTATTAAATTTTTAATTCCAAATGTTTGGGACAATAATTAAATAAGAAAAGAAAAAAAGAAAAAAACAAGAGAACGATCTTACCAAACGGTCAGCATAGAATTTGAAATCACTCCTCGTGGTATTTCTGTAAACAAAGGTGTATCGTACCCATTAATTTCTGTAATTAGAGACAAACAACATAATGTACCAACAATCGGCCGACATTTTAATACTAAAAAAAGAAACACTTGTATGTGCCAAATCATATAATTTTCTGTATTAATTTACTTACTTATCTCGCAATATAGTTTGCAATTCCTTCACTTGATTATTACATGGAAGAATCTTTACATTCGGTCCATAAACATCATTAATATCACTGCACTCGCTTAATTTCTTTGAAACTGTTGTTACCTCCGTAGTATCCATGTTTGATTTTAAATATGCATGCACCACTACTTAGCACTTATCTTATTAAGTAAATGATGATCACTGTACTACTCAATATACAGTTACTTAGTAGAATGTAAGTCCAAATAACTACAACGCAATAGGTCCAACTTCTCTAATACAATTATAAAGAAAGGAGACTGAGTGAGATAACGTGATAAAGCGATAGCATACACATAGGTTGCGTAGGTGGCGTAGACTAAAGGTGGAGTTAGACGAAACAAGTGAAATACTTACGTCTCTTGTCTTTATGTTATCCCGCTAGTTATCTTTTCGTCTGTGTACAGCATATACAATTATTACTAACGTGCTCCTTATGCTAGATTTAATTTTATAAAGTAATACTAGTGAGGAAAGTATAATTTCGAGATATTAAAGTTGTTTTCATATATTCTCAATCTAAATACAATTATACATTCCTTTAGTTGATTGCTATCAGATTTAAGCATTGATTGAGCAGCTTTTATATGTATTTTTTAAATATGATTTTTGTGGTTTTGTGAACTAAGTCAATTATGTATTAAGTGATAACAATTTGTGCATTAGATAAATTTTGATTGGATGTAGTATGCACCAATCGTTTAACTTTAGAGATACTTTTAGTGAAAATCAATAGTATATTATTTCTAGATAATTAGTCTTCTGGTAGGTGAATTTGTTAGGTGAAATAGGAACGTCACATCCTTCGACAGCACGAAAAATGTATTCAAAAGGTAAATGCGGTAAACAAAACTTATGTTCTATTTGTTTTGATTTGAAATTTGATAATGATGAAATTGGATAAAGCAAATTTTTTATTTTTTGGTACCTATCAAGTTAATAAATTTATTGTGTTTTGTACCTACACGCTTATTGTAATGTCATATGCAATATAGTATTATTCAACATTGTGTAAAAGTATTCAAAAAGTAAAAAGTCTACTGATTTACTGTCTGAGCATTACAAGGCAAAATGGAGAAAAATACATTTCTAATTTGCAAAAATATTTAGATACATTGCAAATTTAAATTATTATAATTCTTAAATTAAATTATTAAATTTAGTTATTTTATTAACTAAATTAGTAAATTATTAAATTATTACAATTAAAAATGATTATATAGAGTGTTTCTTGATAGAAATGTGTATTTAAAATATCACTCGTTTAACTGATGTTTAGGACATGGAGGTGAAGGTTCTAAGTCTAATGGTTATCGTAATGGCCAAAGACATAGTAGAGGACCAAGATACCCACCTGGATTAACAGGCAAAGAAATAGGGTTGTTTTACAGAGACATGGCTAAAAGGAAGGCAGCAACAGCTGGAGTTCGACTTATTAACTTACCTGAACATATTAAGAAAAAAATTATGGCTGTAATAGAAAATTTTGAAAGACACTATAATAAATTATACAACGATGTTTACACTAAAGATATAGATGATACATTGGAGAATAAATACATACATATTCATGATTCTCAATTTAAAAGAAGGTTTATGAAAATGTTATCTGGTAACATACAAGAAAATATTTCCAGCGCTTTAATGATTGAAACAAAATTAAAAAGAGATACTAATCTAGATGCCAAATTGTTAGAAGAATATAAAATAAAGCAATCTTTGCCAGAATATAAGAAAATGGTACAGTTTAGATCAAAATTACCATCACATGAGAAAAGATCAGAAATATTAAAATTAGTTAGAGAAAATCAAGTTGTTTTAATAAGTGGAGAAACTGGTAAATATTTAGTATCAGAGCATTTATATAAATAATATAATTAATTTTAAATCATATGAGGTTAAATATATTTATGTTATTGGTTACTTGATTAATGTATGTTTTGTGATATGTATATGTTATTAGATATAGTCACTGTAAAAATATATTTTAGGTTGTGGAAAAACAACACAAATTGTTCAGTACATATTAGATGATGCAATTGAACAAGGTAATGGTAGTATTACACAGATTATTTGTACTCAACCTAGGAGGATATCAGCTATATCTGTTTCTAAAAGAGTTGCAGCTGAGAGAGCAGAAAACATTGGTACATCTGTTGGTTTTCAAGTCCGACTTGAAAAGTATATTGTTATTTTTTATTTCTTCTACTACTTGGATATGATATAATATAATAAGTAATAATTATATTTTCTTTTATGTACAGAGTATTACCAAGAAGAAAAGGTAGTATATTGTATTGTACAACTGGGATGTTATTGCAATTTGTACAAAATAGTCCAGCTTTGAAAGAATATTCTCATATTGTATTGGATGAAATTCATGAGAGGTCTATGGAAACTGATTTAATCCTTACTTTGTTGAAGTTTATTATTCCTAAAGTACGTTTAATTTGATTTACAGCTTGATAATAAATTTGAGCATTAATATTAATATTTTCTTATATAAGGAAAAATTATTTTGTAGAGATCCGATTTAAAAGTTCTTTTAATGAGCGCAACACTTAATTCCGAAAGGTTTTCGGAATATTATGATAATTGCCCAATGATCCATATTCCAGGGTTTACTTATCCAGTGCAAGAATATTATTTAGAGGATGTTTTGAAGTTTACAGAGTAAGTTTATTTATAAAAAATAATATAGATAAATAGTTACAATATAATTTGAATTACAGATTTAAATTTAAATCGGAAATACGTAAGAAGTATTCTTACGATTCATCTGACTCTTGTATTGAGCAATGTATAAACGAACTTAAAGTAAGTATACTTACATACTTACATGTGTTGTATTTACTTTTCCCTTTCTTTCCTACTTATGGTACAGGGAAAATATCCACAAAACATTCTTGACGAACTGATGCAACCATGTAGTGAAATCATGTCTCTTGAACTTATACAAACATTAATTTACTACATCTGTGTAACACAAGAGCCTGGAGCTATTTTAGTTTTCCTTCCTGGTATGAGTGACATAGTTAAATTATATACTATGCTGTTGAAATCTTTGTGGTATTCAGAAGGCAAGTATATTTAACATAGTAATTCGTATATAATCCTTATTTCATAATAAGTTTAGAGTTTACAAAAATTATTGTATATCTAGATAAATATGTTATCTATCTTCTCCATTCTCGTATGCCAACTGTTGAACAAAACCTCATATTCGAAGTACCACCCGATGGAATTCGGAAAATAATTATTTCAACTCCTATAGCTGAAACTTCTATAACTATTGAAGATATAGTGTATGTTATTGATTCCGGAAAAATGAAGTATGATAAATTTGATATTGCAAAAAATATTGAAACTTTAAAACCTGAATGGGAGTCGTTAGCGAATGCTAAACAAAGAAGAGGAAGATCAGGCAGGTAAGATGATTCAATAAAATTATTAACAGATCGATTTGTCATGTAAGATATTTGTTTCAATAGCCATACATTACATTCTTTTTAGAGTAAAACCTGGTATTTGTTATCATTTGTATACGAAAACTAGAGAAAGGTTCTTTCAGCCATATCCATTACCTGAAATGTTAAGGAGCCGTTTGGAGCTAGTTATTTTACAAATAAAAATTTTACAATTGGGGCCAGTTAAAACTTTCCTGACTAATGTTATGGATCCCCCAAATTTGGACATTATAGAAATTTCTTTGGATTTACTTCGAAAACTGAATGCATTAGATAATGAGGAACAGTTGACTCCTTTAGGGTATCATTTGGCACAGTTGCCACTAGATCCACGAATGGGTAATATTTTTATATATTACGTGTAATTTTACATAACTTTTTTTCGGTACGTTTTTACGTTAATCATTTTGTTTCTTATTTTTATTAGGGAAAATGATTATATGGGGAGTTCTATTTTCGTGTGTACAACCAATTTTTTCAATCGCTGCAACTCTTAGTTTTAAAGATGCATTTTTCAGTCCTTTCGGAAAACAGGATGAAGCACAAACACGAAAAACTGAATTAAGTATGTACGAATTTAGCGATCATATTGCTTTTTATGAAGCATTAAGGAGATTTGAAATAGCGTACAAAGGTGGAGTAGCAAGCATGTTTTGTCAGAAATATTTTCTTTCTTTCAATACGCTTAAACTTCTTTGTGAAATGAAAAATCAATTTGCCGAACATTTATGTAACATGAAGTTTATGAAAGAAAAAAATCCGAATGCGGCTGAAGTTAACAGAAACTCTAAAAATATATTACTGATCAAAGCAATAGTATGTGCTGGATTATACCCCAATATTGCTGTTATAACGTACGCATGATTTTTAAGATAATAACGACATTTAATGAAAATAGAAAGACAATAAATTTCATTTCGGGTTTTCCAGCAATGATTCAATCCGTGGAAGTCGTGCATTTACTCCCGAAGATGGACTCACAGTCGCTGTTCATCCGTCAAGTGTAAACTGTTCAGTTATTGGATTTCCTAGTCCATATATTACATATTTTACAAAGCGATTATCGACATCAATTTATCTGCATGACACTACATGTGTTACTGTACCAATTTTATTATTTGCTAGTGCGGATATATTTAGAAGTAGGTGGATTTGCAGCTTATGCAATTTATATTTAATTAACATCTATTCATTAATATTTTCGACTATTTCAGAAAGAAAAAAAAAAAATTATTTTAGTTTAGGAAATATTGAAAATCTTGTTTGCACTATAGAAACTGTAAAGCTTATTCAGGTATTACAATAGAAATATCTATGATACGAAATTTGTTACTTGACATAAACTTATACTGACTCATCTATATTTTAATTATAGGGATTACAAAAACAATTTAATAATCTGTTAGAGTATAAAATATCACATCCAGATGTATTATGTTGGGATAGCTGCGAAGGTGATCTAATGAAGTAAGTTTTATGTTTAAATATTTGTTTATTTTTATTTGTTTGTAAGAAACACTAATGTTATTTGTTGATCACAGTGCTATTATAGACCTGGTTTGCCTAAGAGATAAAGACATAAAATTTGTCAATTGTGATAATGAAAAATATAGAAATAATAAGATGGATTACGAATGAATACAATGTTTCAATATTCATGCTTTAGTGTATACGTAGTAGTTAGAGAAACTTAGCTTCTTGGCGTTCTTTTTAATTCTTTGTGTTAAGTAAATATTTAAAGTATTCAAATAAAATAATCGGTTAATTAATAATTCGTTATAGTATTATTATAACTACAATAGGTACAAGTATATGAAGTGTATAATATATATTCAGTAAATAAAATGTTGAAAACAAATGTGAAAAATATGGATCATATAAATTTAATTTTTAAATTTACTCGAATTCTACTACGCGTTATAATATACTTCACCACTACTGATTTTGACTACATTTATAGAAAATTATTCATTTCGTGATATGATCGAGTAATATCATCGTTATATTAATCTATAAATTGTAAGCTTTAAAATGGTAGTTCGAAATGGAGAAAATGTAATTAATAACGTTCTATGCATTATGTGCGAGCAAAATTCATCGTGCTTATGAATTTATCGCTTATCACTCTTAGATATCCAGTTTATCAAATTCAAGTTCGAAATATAAGGAAAAATGCAAAAAACAAAATAAGAAAGATGCGTGCCGATGATTTAAATGCTAGCACATTGTACAATCGGACAAGTTTTTATCAGTGGTCGGTGATTAATCTATATCGAACAAAAGTAGGAAGCTTCGGTAACAAAAGATTCTGCATTTCAAGAATAAGACTCTCTCTCCCCTCCGGTCTGGTCATGTATTCGCGCGTAGCCAGTAAAAATGAGCCTGGGGTCTGGCACGAGCTGATAGCCACCGCGAAGAGAAGTAAATAGGGGGAAGAGAAAGAGAACGAGCGAGAAAGGGGGAGGGTGGTTAGGGGAGGGACGTTCTGGCAATACACGAGCGAGGCACATAGCGTCCGATTCAGTCTGCATCCGACCGCCGCGAGTGTCGCGTCGCGAAGCTGTGGTCGAACTTCGGGGGGGACACGAGACTTCGGTACGAATCAGTCTGTTTGAGTGCTCGTGATACGACATCGCGGTCCCTTATCCCGTATCCAAACGTGCACCTATTCTTCATACGTATTCATTTTTCTTCTCTCGATGCGTGGATTGTAATAACGGGAGAAAGAAAAAAAAAAAAAAAATTGGTGAAAAATCGTAGTCGCATGCATTTGTGTTAGAGAGAGAGAAAGAGAGAGCGGGTCACTGAACGACCGTACGAAGGTAGGCAGAGGGAGAGAGAGCAAAATAAGAGGGACAGAGAGGAATTTTCGTCGCGACGTATACATACGTATATACACGTGCGAAAGCGAGGAGAGATGTGAAACACGCGCGTGCGCACCCGCGTATCACACACACATATATATATACATATATATGAAAGAAAGAGAGAGCGAGAGAGAGAGAGAGGGAGAGACAGAAAGAGAGTGAGAGAGAGAGTGAGAGAGAGCGAGAGAGAGAGAGAGAGAAAGAGGGATAGAGACAACGACGACACGGCGCAGGAAGAGGCAAGAGAATCAGTAACACCGGGAGGGTCGGGTGTTCCTCGTGCAAAACCGCCACCGGAATATATGTCGTGAGTGTGCGGCTGAAGATCCGCGGATAGAGGACGGCGATAGTGCGTGCAGGGCTTTAAGAAGGGAAAAAAAGGCAAAGACTTCGGGTGAAAAGCAATGCGGGTTCATTGACTGCGTGCCGCGCAATGGCCGCATGTTCGTGGCCGATGCACAGTGCATGTGTGACAGGAGCTACGAAGAGGACGACGCCGAGGACGACGAGGCCGAAGATACCGGCTACGGCTAACATCCAATTCCAAACCTATTGAAGTTTTCTTCGGGTTCTTCTGTGATCCAACACATACCCCGATTAGATCTGCGATAACAACAAGAAACACTAGGATTTTTTGTGCTTTTTACGTGAGTAGTATCTACCTGATTTTATAATATAACCTTTACAAACCTTTTCCTTCCTTTCGCCTGGAAACTCGTAATATTCGGAGACAAACTTCTCGCCGATACTCCATTCCTGTTAAAGATATTCTAATCCTAACGAGCTGGCAGTTCGAATTCTATGATATATTCGATTTATGATAACCAAGAGTATCGGCAATACCAACATTTGTCGCGAGACGTAACGCGCTGCTTTGAGAATTCTTCTCCGCAAGATGCTGCGATGCATTGTAGCAGTAGCATCACATCGACCTAATTTTTTCATTGCTCTTACAATGTCCGATAATCTTCCCTTTCGTGTCGCGCGAGTACATGTTTCAAATGCGAGTTTCAAACGGAGTGAACGTGTTTCGAGAATATCAAGGGCGTAGGGTCATTCACTGCAACCGGTGTTTTCTCGTTCAAAGGTTCTTCGTGTGTCAATGCCCTATTGTAGGAAAATATCTTGATTATAATTGGCCAAGCGTTGATATCTTTTTTCTCCTTTCAATCTTGCCTTCGATCGTTCGATATTCTGTCCGGATCGCAATCTGCATCTTGAAAAAAATGAATCGTGACATTTGAAAGCCGAGTCGAGGGTATGCTAGGTGAATTTTCGAAGCATTGGTAAGAAATGTGGTCGCGTGGCGAACGATTTTACGCAAGATTCAACGAAACCAGATATTTTCTCATTAAAAATTAATTCCTTTACGTTCGAGGACGAACAACCGAAGGACGCGTACGTCATTCTTGCAATGACCTTATCACAGATACGCTGACCTTACCTACCGTGGATATTATAAACATCGTATTTTCGTAATAATACTTAATTGGACGGTTGTTGCAAAGTCAATCTTCTTGCACCAAAAAGTAGCTCGTTTATCTCGAAAGTTCTCGAAAACCGTGCTGAGCAGCACTCTTGCCTGGAATAACGTTGTCGAGATTATTGTTCAACATTATTGAGGGGGAAAAAAGATGAAAGAAAGAGAAAAAAGAAAACATGTAATAGTTTAATTTTTTCGAACGATTGATACTGTAGCTCCATTTTGCCGCTTTGTTCGTTAAGTTCACGAACCTTTCTAATTTCGTATCTAATCAACGAATGGTAGACTTTGCCACGAGTCGACGGCACCTTATCTTGCTGCTTGCTGTTTCTATAGTTACGGTGCTTTTCTTGAAATTCGGATGAACTATTTAAGCCAGGAATAACCGGGCGGGAAAAATTCGGATTTAGATCATCTAAATATAGAGTATCACCTTGTTTTTTTCACCAAGAAGGTTCATCCTTTGCAAGTGCAGGGTAAGTCTCGTCACCGATGTTTGCGGGACGGTTAGTATCGATGTTAATCATGCGCCGGGATGATGCCGAATCCAGGTGGTTATGACATGTATTTTCGATAGCGGTTATTTCAATTAGGCGTGCATTTGATTTCCGATGCCCGAAAACACCGATTAAGCCGGATGGTTGTAGCGTTGAAAGGAACAACTTCGTTTTGGAACAAATCCAACCGGTTGACTTGTGTATTCTAATCGAGTAAATCAGGATAAGTACGTGTTTTTGCCCCGTTCACGCGTTCGATTCCGCTTGATAATCAGTGTGGAGGCGGAAAAATTAAGCTTTACACTGTTAATCGTTTTGACAAATAGCCATTTACCTTGTTTATGTTTCCTTTGTCTGTGCCAAATTAGTTTTTCCTAGTGCATTGTCATTCGCCTATTCTTGTCCTCTACGCATGCGCGCGAGCCCCTATGTTTTTTCTCTTTCTACCGCTTCGTACGCATGTGAGGTTAGTTCCATGGTAATTAGTAGTTTATACGTTGCTTCCGACATAAATATCTTTGTAACACTGCTGCGAGTAAATCTGAAAAAAAAGGTTCGTTTTATTTCTTTTATTTATGTTACTTACGTTACCGATGATAGCGTTTAGATGGTTTAGAAACGTAATAATTGCCACGGGAAATTTTGTAATATAATCTTGGAATCAGGGACATTCGATTGTTTGTATATTTCTTTTATGAAACTTAATTCAAACATCGAATGATGTAATCGTAAGCTGGATTTGTTAAAGTTTTAAAATTCAAAATTATAATCTCGTTGCTAGTTATCAGCCGGCCGGTTGTGCTCATTGATCTTGTCGTTTTGTAGACCGAGATCGTTGCACCCGTGACATGAAACGTACTACTCGCGATGAGATAATTGTTCTTAATCATCGTGTATATTCTCATTGATAGTACGCGTCACTAAATATATCTTTAGCTTTATTAAAAATTTCAACCATGTCGCCTTGTTTCTTTTTCCTTCGGGACAAAATGACATCGAACTGGTTCGCGCGTCGAAAGTGTTGCCAATATATATATATACACACACATATGCATATAAGCCACACGTTCGATATAAAAGATTTGGATTTGCCGCCCACGATACTTAAGCAAAATATCAACGCCATACGAAAACGATAAAAAAGAAAAATGCACGGCTGGAATCGGAATTCGTTAATCTATTTTTCGATATCGTATTTTCGGTCGACGCACGCAGCCGAATTAACGCGACCGTTGGCTTTCTTCGTACCGACCGCATCATAACCTTTCTCAACGCTTGTCGATTTCGATCAGCGCCACTAGTAGGCGGTAGGGAGCATCAGTCGCGTGACCATAGATACGTTACTAATTTCACGTTCGAAGGTTGACACGCTTGACGAAACCGTCGAACGGAAATGGAAACGTCAGTGTACGTCAGACAATCGGTGGTTTTGCACGCGAGGCCATGAAATTAAAACGACGCTGGTTGATCACGCCTCAGGACTGTACAACTCGACTCGACTAATTAGAAACGCCTGTCAAAATCATCTCTGACCGGGGCAGAAGAAGATGTTCACGATACACGAGGCGTCTCTCGTATACGCGCCACTCATCCGTGACTAATGCTTAACAGTTGGCGGGTGAAAATTGGCGCGATGTAAATATGGGACGAGTTCTCATGCGCGCAGCGTATATCCGCTCGATTTACTTCGTCAGCTTCAAACACGACGTACGGAACGACCCGTTGGCCCCCACCATATTCGTCTTTGCTCTCGATCGCGCGAGGACTCTGCGACTTTAAACGACTGACAAATCTCGTCGATAAATAACCGACAATCCACGGTGTAATGGCGACGATTCGGATTATGCGAAGAATTCGGAAGTCGATCGCGGCAAACATTCTGTGGTGCTAGTCTGTGCGTTGATGAACAAAAATAGGTGACCTATATATGTGCGTATATATGTACAAATGTTAGTGTATATACGACATATGTATTTCTGTTTCGCGAAATCGAAACGGATTTTTCACATGCTTCTTTGTCGTCGGGCTTCGGAAGCTGTAAACGTCGCGCTGCAAGAAACGTTGGCAGCATTTTTTATTTACGTTCCGCGCGGCTTGTTTGGAATATCTTCGGGCTACAATAAGCCGTTTCGACGGTCGGTTTTTCACGTTTTCGTTTCACGGTGCAAGGTGAATCACGCTTTTCGGAACAATAAGGTATACATTTTTCGTGCATTCTATAAATCAACGGAACCTCGCTACACGTATACACACATACCGAATCGGGTATAACTTTTTAATATCCTACACATTCGTCCCGTTTAAAATCGGTCAGTTAGTGGGGTGGCGCTGCAAGCGTCTAACCTACAACGTAGCATACGTGTTTCGAAACCGTTTTTCGAATTACCCTGTACCTACAGTGACATTAAAAACTTCATTCCAGATAACTCTACTCCTCACGAGAAACATAATGAACATTTAACATAACGAAAGAACGGCTGGAAAGGCTGAATATATTAACGAATCCATTGAAACCAGGAGAGTCACGTCGGTTACGCAGTTCCTTAGTTTAACAAGAAGAGAGCAGGCGTAAAGAGAGTAAGTGGAAAAGCAGCAACGAATGCGCGACAAGTCGTGCCGAAAATAATATCGACTTTTTTTTAGGCGTTCGTTATTGTTGTAACGTGGGTACGTCCAGAAAGCCGCTATTTTCACGCGAAAAGCTCGCGCGTCCCGTTTTTGCGTCGTCCTCGTCGCTGGTAACGGATTACCCAGCGGACATGATTACCTTCGGTACTGCTAATAGACGATCATGAATGAACGCGTGAACGCGAGCCGTTCTCTCGCGATCGCGCGCAAGTGCAGCGTATTCCAGGCATTCGTTGCGCGAACAGACCAGCGAATATCGGTTGTACGGGCAGCTGGAATGGACCGCTCGTAATTCTGAACTTACGGCCCGCAGGCCGTATTAAAATTGTTTCTAGAGCGGGAACGAGCTCCATTGCGAATAGACAGCGCGCTTGAAAATAGAGGAACTTGACATTCTCTGATCTTTTAACGTTTCCGTCTGTTTTTCCGCCATTTATAACGGCACGTCAGGGGTGGGGATAGCATTATGTTTTTACAACGGCGGAAAGGGATATATGTTACTGTATGTATAGCGAATACCATGTCGAATATCGAGATTTAGGTTACGGTTACAGTGGATGCATTTTCTGGGGAATTTATTTAAATTCATTGATCGTATTAATAATTCTGTAAACTCTGTTTCTCTGTCTAGTGGAAGTATAGGAATATATATGATCTCTAATTATCTCTCAGTATGTACGTTTAGTCGATGAACCGAAGAATCCTGATAATTCATAACTTTATTCGTTAGAAGAATAACGCGTTAGGGAAAAGACTCATTGTCAGTCTTCAAACGATTAATTTTGATTTAAGATTTCGGGCATGCTGACATTGCATAGTTGTGTCACTTCTCTAGCTTTTCTGCCGTGACTCGGCCATTCTATTTTTAGAATTGTATCTATATCCGTGGCAAGAAATTTTGCGAGATGTTGGATTTAAGGAGAAGTATCGAAATTCGATTACCGAGGTCGTTAATTTTAATCCAAGCTTAGACCTGTGACATAATTAACCCTCCCGAAAGGGATTATTTTTCGCACGAGAGAATTTCTGGATTATGCGTTGAAAAGATTACGCCGTGGAATCCATAACCTTACATCAACGGTATTTACTTTCTACTTCTTCTTAAAGAGAAAGACGTTTTTGAGTATTTTCCAACATTTCTCAGCAAGGGATTACTTATCGTAAATCGTATCGTGAAATCATAGTCTTTCCGACTTCTCTAATTTTCCAAGATTAGATATTCTAGTAAAAATAAAAACGGAGTATTCGCGATGAAGAAGAGTATTTAACAAACGGAGTTATTAAACAAACTGTCTGTGTTTGCTTATTTCGTGCACTATACGCTGTCTCGTTCTGTTCTCTGAAATTCGTATCACTCCGTAGCGAAGTACAGACGTTTGACGCTTGCTTTATGATAATATTCCAAAGACTAAGAATTCGCGATAACAACCTTTATACTCGTCGTTAGCTCCCAAAAAGAAAAATTTCCTTTTCGGCACGTCTCTAACTCGTTTTCCCCTTTTTTCAGACGAGCGGAGCCCATCTCTAGAGGAACTACAGTGCATAATACAGCGAACACGCTCCGAATTTATCAGGACTTACCAACAGTCGCGTAACCAACGTTTTCACTCACGAATCATCGTAAACCTGCATCGTAAATCGCCTCTTAAAGACCCGTATCCGACGATCCTGCCAAAGACAAGGAACTCTGACGAGAACTTTAATCCTGTTTAAGTTATCCCCAGGAGAAGAAGTGGAAGAAGTATATTCGCGTCGAACAGTGCTTTGTTCATTGGATCATCTCGTTGTATCGATCAATTCGTTCGATTACCAGTTTCACTAGGACTTAATGGTCGCGACCAGGTGTCTGGACAGAAAATCGGCACGAAGTCGCGGCATTGACTGGCGAATATGCTCGTTTGCTGACGGGAGACAGCAGCAGCAACAACAGCAAGCGGATCGCTTTGGTGAATCGTCGTTGGAGATCGCGCTGGACGTTTCGAGGTGGCGGGACTTAGGTGAGGACATTTCGTCGCGTTTGACGTCGTTGTCGTCGTGGTGCGTTGTTAAGCCCGTGGTTCGGCAGTGAGAGAAAGATAAGAGAGAGAGGCGGGCAGCTATAACCGGCAACCACACGGTGGACATGATTATTTCAAAGGATCTGTTCCTCTTTGGCGACCAAGATTACCTGCGCCTTCCCAGCAACGAGAAGCGCCAGCAACGGGCAATGGGCCGACCGATCATCAATGCTCCCAGGTGAGTCGACACGATCTTTCACTGTTACTTTTATTTTTCTTCCATTTTCTCCCTAGATTTCTAGATAACAGCGTGAAAATCCTCGCCGATGCTACGTCTGCTCGAAACAATCCCAGGATTCCTCTTGCCGGATTTTTCAATACTTTTTTTTCAATACTAGTCGAATGCTTTTTATGTCGCGATTCAAAGAGAATTTTTGTAATACCGATTTTGTTAACAACGTTTATTTTTAATTTATTCTTTGTATTTCGTTTGGTCGATTACTTTTTGACAATCGATTTGTGGATTAGATTTATGGATTTGTATCGTTGCTATAATATTTTTCATATCTTTTCCATCGCGTCGACGTATTTAACAATGAACGAATCGCTCGTGGAAATTTTCTAGACAAGCATTTTTATATTTTTACGCGATCGTGCATGCAATTCTTTCGAGCAACGCAGCGGAAGCCTCCTGTTAATTTGAATACGCTTTTTAAAATTGCGTATGTGATTTATCGTTCTTTATCTATAATAAAAGACGAAAATATAGCGAATGTAAATTTCCTCCCGACAATGTACATATTTTTCTAAAGGTAGTTCTTTTGCTACAAAGTATATCTTTTATAACTTTTATCAGTCGAGTGAAGTATCTTCCTTCGTCAAATTTATGTCTTCCTGGTTTCAACTTTTTCGGTTTCTTAAAAATTTTCGGCATACTAGGAGAGAGAAAGGTACAATTCAAAGATTAATTTCGAAGATCATAGATTTAGAAAACGTTAAAAAGTTCTGACAAAGGCGAGTCAGATAAGGGGATATGTGACGTTTCACGTATCATGGAGGGAAAAAGTCATTAATATATTTGCGGAATTCTAAATTTAAACACGGGTCGGGGCGACATAAGCCACACGCCCATAGTTGGGCTTCTTCGAGCCGAAACTCGATCTTTTTCACGAGCATCAAAATATCGAAATCTCCAGATCGTCGAGCAAATCTGCGACGATCAACGTTCGTGGCCATTTTGAGAACGAGGTTTGTTCCAAAGCGGCAACATAACCAACAAAAACGTCGAATAAGGAATAACCAGCGGTACACACTGCAGAAATTTTTCAAACGAGCGTAACAGAATTTTCTACGAACAAGGATCGTGGAACAAAGAGCGAGAAAGAGAAGAGCCAAAGGAGTAAAACGGATCAGGGGGGAAGGAAGATGGCGAACTATGAGATGCGCGCATGCGCGGACGACTGAATCCCTTATCACGACTGATACAGTCGATGATCTCTTTCGAAAGAACCCCGAGTCGACGCTCGTCCCTTATCTATTCGCGTCGTACAAAAATATATCATCGACTAATATGTCGGCGAATCTCGACGATGGCGTGCAATAAAAAGCGCTGGCAAAACCGCGCCTCGTGACCTTCTGCCGTGTCATCGGGCTCCTCGATGATTTCGCGTCCCGATCCGCCATTTGCCAATTTTATTCACGCCTTCGAATTTATCGGAACCTCGGTCGTTGTACTTTCACGTTGTACATAGCATTCGTCGAAATCTTACGCCCTTGCCATTCGCGATTTCCGAAATAAATAAGGAATAACGCTCTCCTGTTATTCACGCGTGTTGTCCCATACTTCGTCATGTTGCCATGGTTATTTTTACGGATAGTAGCTTCTCGTTGCCCCCTTCTCGAATTTGTATAGTTCTTATTTGGCGAATAATAAAATTTAAGGTCGTAGTGCTTGGTTTGCTTGCCGACTAGTTTTACTTTCTCTACGGTGCAGAGAATGTGAGGTTATGTAAGGTTAAATATACGAGGCTCGGATACCATGCTAATGATTATAATTTCGCTTTCGTTGTCGTAGTTATCTGTACCAATTTAACACTAGAACTACTTGCTAGCAACTTGAAACCGAATACGCTATATATAGATGATAATTAAAGTGGCGTGATAAAAATAAACAGATATACGTGACTACGTGTCTGTATTAATAAAAGTAGACATTGCTCGACGTTACTTTTCGGTGAACGTAAAAACAGAGTACGCGGATATATTTTCCATCGGAATGTTCGCAGGTGCACCCGTCTCATCGATCGCTCGATCCCAAAGTTTTGAACGCTACTGTACACGCACGTACACGCGTGTATGTATTTCTTTATCGAAAAAGAAGGATGCAAACCACCGTCGTTTCTTTTTCTGTCCTCGTCTTTCTCCGCGCTTGCCCCCTCTCTCTTCTGTTCGACAAAATTTATTTATAACGATGTGGTTGTTTGTCGTGGCTGATTTAACGATCGTCGCCATTGCTTGCTTGTTTGTGCACGCGTTTGTTTGATCGTGCCCTTTGTTCCGTTGCCCGTCGTCGTTCGATCAACACTTTCGTTAATACCCGGTAATGCCAGGGACCGTTCGAGCTCTTGAAATACGTCCCTCTCTTACCATCTCCGTTTGTTTTCTCGTCATTTGTAATTCGTCGCGTGACGAGGCATATTTGCAGGAACATCGCGTTGAAACTTCTGGGCGAAGTCGCGATCGAAATCTCGGAACGGCCGATTTACGTGGATATCTCTGTGCGAGCGGTGATCCTGCAGATTCCTGGGATTTCCTAGTGTTCTCGGTGATTCTCTATAGTTACCGCATAAATTGCCACGGAAACACTCGGTAATTTCCCCCGCGAACACCAAGAATCTTCTTCGATACGAGTTTATGCGTAAATAGTGTCTAGAATTCTTCTAGGGTTCCCTAGGATCCTTCTAGGGTTCCCTAGGACTCGCGGTTTTCTATCGCGATTCTCGAATTTCGCATATTTTTGATATTTCTCGGATTCCCGTGTCCCTTTGAGCGATTTTTCGCTGCTTTATACTTCACCGTAGATATTCCCTATGAATTTCGCTTTTTCCTCAGCGACCACACGCGTCGCTGTGCCTATCGGTCTGACACCTGTTTCTCGCCGATCCGCCGGTTTCTCCTCGTTAAATTAGACTGTAACCACTCCGGCCGACCTTTCCTTCGGATTATTCGACCGAGTGAAATCGGGGACTTTTGATCAGGTTTTGGAAACGAACACCCCAATTACCAATTTCGTCCTCCGTTCGAGGGTTTTCGGGCGAAAAGAAAGTGGAATCCGCATGCCGGATGCACGCAGCCGAGTTCGGGGAAATGTATAAATCGCGGCGACCACCACCACGATCCTCCTTTCGGTATCTCTTTCGACAGCTCGAAAGTTCCAGGGTATCGATTACGCTCTTTCCATTACGCGCGTCGTCCTCTCGAAATTTCGCGGGAACCGCGCGCCGCGGCGCTAGTTTCGCGTTCGACGTTTCTGGAACGCGTGGCGGAAAGAAGATGGCGGCGGAGAGGAGAGGCAGGCGAATATTCGAGGCGTAATCAGGCTTCGAAAATACGAGCGACGAGATTGGTGGCCGATTCTTTATCGGCGTGAACGCCACGACGAAGACTACGAAGTCTCGCTGATACCACCGTGTCGTATTGTAAATAAAAAAAGAGGAAGGAACAGGGAGCAAACAGCTTGGAACGCATGGCGTTATCGTTCGAGCCGCGGGTCCTTGATTTTTCGAGGAAGACGTTCGTAAATCAAGCTTTGTTTCGGTGTAAACGTCGCGACAGATAGCTTCCGCTTTATCTGTCGCCTATTATCAGCGCAACCAATCAATAGCCAAAGTTTCGTGGTACAGTCCCGGCTTTTTAGTTGCTTTTTATTTATTCTCCTCTCAGCGGGCTGATTAATCGTTACTGCTTTCAGCAGCGTGAAAATCGCGTCGAATCCTTATAGGCTTATGCGACTCGTAAATCATGCCTCTCTTACCCTAACTTTTCTTTTATTTGCTTTCCCCTCCTACTCGAGTTAATTTGAAAATTTAGGTTGGGAATACGCGTAACTTTTTTATCGTTCGAGGTCGTTCTAAATATGCTAATAATAAAAATACAACGAGCAATGTATTGCGAAATTTTATATATCTTTCATCGTCCGAAGTACATAGATGAAAATTAAAAATCTGAAATAATTATTGCCTATTAGTAGCTATAAAATGTTATCTCTTCGTCCTACTCTTATCTGTATCTCAGAAATGTATTCCCTGGTGTTTAATTTATCTATTAAAAGTGTTGCAATAAACCAATTCAATCATGCAATGATTTGCGATTTTTGGGCCCCGGGGACCTTCGCTAGGAGTCGTGAGCCGGGTTAGGGATTAAAAGAATCTTTTAAAAAGTTCAGTCTCAACTCCAGTACAGTACGGTTAGGTAGTTAGTAGTTATCGTAATCCATAAAAGAAATGGAAAGTAATATAGCAATTCGCAAATCATCATTCCGTTGCTCAACTCTTCTCGGTGTGCGTGTAATTGTATTTCGAAAGGTAGAACACGTATGATTATAACATTCACGTGTGATAATTGTTTATTTTAAACATATATGACACGTATGCACGCGTCTGATTCGAGATTCACCATCGTAGGGTTAAACACCGTTTAGCGAGCATAGAAACCATGTCGCGGCCCAGAAGAACCCGTTGAAAGTCCACGATCCACGTGCAGCTTGTTCAGTCCGATGCTAGAAAACCCCGTTGCCTATAGATCAACGAGAAATCCTCCGGCTTTTCTTCCTCCTCGACCGGTCCACGCCCCTGCTCGCTCGCGCTGATAAGGAGAACGCGAGCGTGCACGCGCGTATCGCGCTCTCTTCCCATCAGCCGAGAGTGGGTCACGCATGGGAAACTGGAACGGTTTCATCTCTCGAAGCGGAAGACTCGATTTTTCTCCGGAGGAGAAACCGCCGATTTTTCTTTCGATCGGTCCCCGGTTTCTAGGTTAGACGCGTGCGAGTACGCGTGCGCGCGCATGCGCCGTACGCATAGGTGAACGCATATCGACGCGATACGTGCGAGTAATGGGACAAGGAGCGCAGGGTGTCGCGATCTAGATGGCGCATACAGCGATCGATCGTCGATCGTTGCGTTGGAAATAACGCACGGTTTCTGCGAACCGATCTATTCCAACTTTGATCTCTCTTCG